CATAGATTCGGCTCCAACTCATGGAGACCCCACATGGGTCAGAGTAGAAGTGTGCTCCATAGGGTTTTCAATGGCTGGTTTTTTGGAACTAGATCACCAGGCCTTTCTTCTGAGGCGCCCGAATCTCTAACCTTTGGGTTAGCAGCTAAGCACGTTAGCTGTTTGTACAACCCCTTAAACCCGTTGCCGTCGAGTCGATTCTGACTCATAGTGATCTTGGGACTCCTAAATTCTCTAGGATCTCCTAAATAAATACATGCTTATACTACAGAAGGGGCTTAAATGCTGTATTTACAAAAACAACCATTATACTGTTGACATTTGATGGAGAGAAGTGCCATTTAGAATCCACCTACTGTTACGTGTACTTGTGAAAGTCAGGGTTTAGCTCTTCCAGGCTTGTAGCTTAAAAGAAACAAAGGTCGGGGCGGGGGGTGGCGGGGAATGACCCCAACAATGTATCATTTAAAAGAATAATTATATCAAAAGGAAGTCTTTTTTTTTTCTCCTCAAAGATCACATGTATACTAAAAAGAACCTTTATTCTAAACTATGATGAATTAAATCAATTTCCTCATATTTACCTGGATCTGTGCCTATTAAATGTTTCACTGAGATATGTGTTGCAATACAATTTGCAGAATTATCCAACAAAGAAATTTCATATATGATTATGGCCAACTCTGGGCAATTATTCCACGGCTGTACCTATAGCAACCAATGATGCAGATTCACCAATCAACAGCACCCAACTAGGAAACTACGTCCCTGTTGACAACACTTTTTTCAAACCAAGAGTTTTCCTATGCTCTCCCTCTAGTGAACAATGAAAAACTAGTCTCTGGGAAAAACAAAAACAAAACAATACAAAACAAGGGAACACACGAGCACATCATCAGGCTTTCACAAAGCTACAAGACACAAGCAAAGAAAGCAAGCCAAGAAGTTTAGTTCCACAATCTTCTGACCTGCTTATTCACACGGACACACACACAGCCGTAACTGTGTTTATGTGTGTGTGCATCACAGAAATACACACGCTGCACACGAGCTCTGTTTATTCATGATGGACACATACACACATGGTCATGACTGTGTGTATAGACATGTGTGCGTGTGTGTGCTTCACAGAAATACACACACTGCACACAAGCGCTCTCTAGGTCCCAAAGACAATTACTTATTTCTAGAATAACTGTTTGACAACAATAGCAAATGCTTACTGAATGGTGCTTTGCAGCAGGCATGGAGCATTTTCTCATTTAATTTTTACAGCAAGAATACAACATAAGTACTGCTATGATTGTGACTTTGTAGATGAGGAAATTTAGGTACAGTAGCATGCCTAAGGTAGAGGATCCTTCTGACTCAACAGTCCAAAATTCTAATGATTTATATGACTCAGGCCTTCCTGAAAACAGAAGTAGCTAGTCTAGGGTGAATTTACATATCGGTACCTATTAAATAAGGAGAGGAGCTCCGGTGGCTTAATGGTTAAGCACTCAGCTGCTAACCAAAAGGTAAGCGGTTCGAGCCCACCCAGCAGCTCCGCAGGAGAAAAGACCTGGTGATCTGCTCCCTTAAAGATTACCGCCTAGGAAATCCCATGGGATAGTTCTGCTTTGTCACATGGGGTCACTGTAAGTCAAAACTCGACTCGACAGCATCCAACAACAATAGCAGCTATTAAATATCTACCTTCTCTGTCAGATCTTTCTCCACTTCAAACCCACGAATTCACATATCTATGGGCATCCCTCCCTGGATTCCCAAAAGGCCATCTCAAACGTTAACTTGCTTCTCTTCTGAAACTGGTCTTACCCTGCTTTCCTCCCAGGTTTCCAGCCTCAGGAATGGTTCCTGCATAGACGAGCTGCCTATGCCAGGACCAGGGGCACCCTCAGCCCACATCCAACCCCTGCCCCATCTGGCCCAGGCCACCCTGTCTCTCCCTGGGATCCCAGATGCCTCCCAACAGGGTCCTTAGCCACCTGTCTTGAACCATGGCAAATCCATTCTCAATACACCCCAATGCTGATCATCTTTGTAAAGATACAAAGCTGATGACCCTCTGCTTACAACAATGAAGGAAGGGAGGCCTTTATTTGACCTCGCATGAAATCTCAACGTCTAACCATGGAGATATGACGCCTGCATATCCCCCAGACTCATCTCCGTGCCTCCACCCACCCTCCCAGCTCCCTGCTCCAGCCATACTGAGTATCATCAGGATCTCCAATGCAATACGCTCTGTCACCCTGCACCTGCCCAGGGGCTGGCTCTCTCCCAGGAACATGCCTGCCAACTTGTACTTGTTCTTATTGCCAGCATGGTCTTCCAAAGGCCCCACATCCGGTTCCACACCCCATTCCTCCCTTAGGACCCTTCTCTTATCATGGGTTTACTGCTCTGACCTGAAGAACCACAGAAGCAGGGACAATACGTGTCTTTTCTCCCAACGGCCTGCACACACAGTCAGTGCTCAATAAATACCATTAATGAGTAAATAAGTGATTGCCATAAAACTGAATTTCCAATTATTGTTTCAGTTAGATAAGACAGCATACGTTAATGTGTTTGTCCATCAACTTCAACTGTGACATCGAATACTTTCTGCGTGAATACACGATCTCCTATGATAAAAAAAAACAAAAAAACTACAATCTACAGCTTCTAAAGCCCACAGGAAAAGAATCTGATTTAAATATTAATTAGTGAATGTTAGCAAAGCACTCTAAAAACGAAAAAGAACAGTTGATAAGAATAATGAGTCACATTCTAACCATAAATAACTACAGCAATGTTCTATAAATCTATAAAATACCCTCAATTTAAACTGCAAGGGTGATTTTTGTAAGTGTACACGATGTATCCAATGAGAACTACAGGGTAACAAAGAACTCTAAGATTTATGCCTCTACCTATTATTGACATGTTTTTCATTGATTCTGGCAGACAAATCTTTATGGGGATTCTTAAAGGTACAGTTCCTAGGACTGTTAAGGAAAAGGGAATTTCATTGGAAGACCGGGACATTTAGGGATAAATCAATGAAAGCTAGTTTACGTGGCTAAGGACAAGTAGAAATCTGAGCGGCAAAGAGCTCGAACATGGCAACAAACAGACTGACTGCTATCATGAGGTGTTGTTGGGTGCTATCGAGTAGATTCTGCCTCATGAAGACCCCATGTGCAGAGGAGAACTGCCCCAGAGGGTTTCCTAGGCTGTGATCTTTACGGGAACGTATCACCAGGTCTTTCTTCCGTGGAGCCACTGGGTGAGTTTGAACCGCTGACCTTTTGGTTAGCAGCTGAGTCCTTAACTGTTATGCTACCAGGGCTCCTTACTATCATGAGAAAAAACAAACCTACTGTCATCAAGTGGATTCCGACTCATAGCGACCCTATAAGACAGAGTAGAACTGCCC